TGTATTAGGGGGCAGGAGATGATAATGCAGAAATAAGGCTGTGGCTACCCCCTGATACTCATTTACCATACTTAAGGCTAGGTGGGTCATGTCTGTAATCTTAGCTACTCAGGAGCTTGAGATGTGAAGGTCTCAGTTTGAAACCAGCTTGGGCAGGAACTTCTATAAGTCTGTGAGATTCCTATTTCCAGCAAAAAGCCAGAAGTGAAGCTATAGCTCAAGGAGTAGAACACTAGCTTTGAGTGAAAATGCTATGCAAGAGCACAAGGCTCTGAGTTCAAGCCTCAGTACCCTTGCACATGTGTGTACATCCACCCACATACAAAATAATTTAAAAAATGTAAATACAATTGATAACTGAGTGCTTCTCCAGACTACCTGAGATGTAGTATCAAAATTTCTTTTGCTTTTCTTTCTTTGTTTTTTGACCAAGTTTGTTCCAAAATGCATGCAATAAATTCATGGACAAGGTGAGCTCTACTCCAACCATACTTGTGCTGTTTGTGATTAGTCCACCCACAGGGGTCACACTTTGAAGAACTTGTATGGAGTCCCACAAGCGCCTGCTTAATGAAACTTCTGAACATGTGTGCAGGATTCCTCCCCTAAATTACGGCCAATTTCCAGGAGGGAGCTGTCTTACAAGCCAGTACAAGTATGGTCATGAAAGTCACCAGGATTTTACTACACACCATAACTACTTTGGGACTTTACTACTGCTCGTAATGTAGCTCTTTATCTTCTTTTCCTGCCTTTATTAGGAGTTGGAGCTGGTAGAAATGTATGGCATTTATCTGTGCCAGTGGGTTCTCCCGAGACATTGCCCCATGTCAGGCCCCCTGGCCCTCCCGTGCCTGCTCCATGCGTGGTGTCAGATCTAATGACCTCCTATGCTCTGCTCTGGATCTGTGGGATCTGTCCAGCTCTGCCCATTCTCCATTGCTCTATGCTGCCGCCTAGGCCTCTTAATACCCATGTCCTCCCAGAAAGAGATCATATCTGCTTCTTCCTTCCCACAGGAAGCTCTGTTTCATCTGTCCACTGGCTCTGCCAGTCTAGAATAACACATGGGAAAGGAGCAAACTGTAGAAACACTGGTGAGCAAATACCTGTTCTGTAATAACTTTTACCAAGCAATCATATACTATTAGCATCCAATTCAGTAGGCCACCATTTTTGATAGAGAGATTTTCAAAGTCTGCCAACTGTACTATCAAATGGTGGGTGTTCCTGTGGAACCACCGAAGTCTGAAATTCTTGCTTTACCAATCCCTGTCTAATGTCATGTTTTCTGGTGTCATCTGTTGTCCCATCTCCAGTGTCCCAGATGACTCTCATCTCTGTCTCCCCAGTGGCCCTGAGTCCTGCCAGCCACCAAAGACTCACTGTGCCAGGATTCCCTGCCCCTTGGTGGCAGGGCTCTGCCGAGAAGTACGACATACCTGCCCCTCCACAATCCATCTGGAGATGGCCGTCTTCCCGTCGTAGCCTGGTCGGAACTGAAGTGTGGCTGAGCGAGGGCTGATGTTGGAAATGACCAGGTTGGATGGAGCACCGGGAAGGTCTAGAGAAGAAGGGAAGATGAAGGTGGAGAAGTGAACTCTGCCACAACCTATGGCAAGTATCTTCATGTCAGCAAAGAAGGAGTTTCAGAATAATGGTGTACTATTAACAACAACAACAGGTTTGTTTTCCAAACTGTGCAAGTTAAAAGCAGCATGGCTTCCCCAGATAACCCCAAGTTGTTATTTATTTTTATTTTTTGGTGGTGCTGGTGTTTAGACTCAGAGCCAGGTGCTCTACCACTTGAGCCATGACCACAGCTCTTCTTTTTGTTTTAGTTTTTTTCCAGATACAGCCTTGTGTTTTATTTCCCCAGGGCCAGCCTGGAACTGAAATTCTTTTACCTATAGTAAAAGGGCTTATAATCATACACCACTGCTCCTGGCTTACTTGTAGAGATGTGTTTTGTTAACTTTTTGCTCTGGTTAGCCTTGAAACACAATCCTCCCATCTATGCCTCCCACATAGCTGGGATTTCAGACATATGCCACTCTACCCTGTTCACAGTATAACTTTTACTTCAACCAGGTCATCTATCAGGCTACAGGTCATGTGAAGTGGCATGAACGTGATCCGGGCTCTCTGTGATACCAAGAATGAGTGTCTCGCTTCCTTCATATTCCCCATGGAGCACCAGAAGACATGGGGGGTGGGGAAGATGGAGGCATGTACAAACCTGTGACTGCTTCAAGGTAGCATGACACAGCAGGTGTTCAGGTCTTGAGCCTTAGGTTTCTTGGGCCAGGTTTCCATGACAACCAAAGGCAGGTGACAGGGCAGAACTCTTTGTCTACTCTGCCTGACTTCAGTTGCTCTGGTAACCATACGAGGTAGAAGGTGGCCCTGTTATCTGTGATCTCCTATAGCCCAAGTCTATTCATGGCTAGAAGCCTGTCTGTGTAGTTTGCTCCCCAGGAACCTGTCCCACGTGGAAGTGTGACATAGTGTATACCCAATGAGTCTTTATGTTAAATTGTGTAATGTGAATCATGCCAGAGAATGGGAACAGGATAAAATGAAGAAAAAAATTGCAATGTGTGTGAGCCAGCCTGTTGCTTGCACCAAGCAGGTGTGAGGCTCCCTGACTTGCATTGTTGGGACCTACCCTTGTGGTACAATGAATCTACTCTGGTGATGGGCTCAGGATTGGCACACGCAGGGTCTCCAGGAGCTCAAGGGTCCTTTCACGTATGATTTAATGAATTTGAAGCAGGATATGTTTAAATGAAAGGACAAGTGACTCTTTTCTTTATATTCCTGGGCTCTCTGGATTCTCACAATGGCTCTTCAGTCTCTAATGGATGTAAACCTCAAGCACAGAAAGCAGTGGGGCCTCCCAGAAGGGATCTCATCACAGGATGTGGCGTCCAGCTGAGACTCTGAATGCTCAGGATGTTTGCAGATGGCTCCCAGTTCCAGGAGATCTCCACTGCTCATGCAGTCTGCAGCTCCACCAAGGAGCTGCAGCCCAGCTCCAGGCCATTCCTGGTGTTGCCCAGAACACGGAGACTCAGGAGTACCTTCTGGAGTCCAGCAGGTCCATGTTCCTTCCTGGGGTGGAGCTTCCAAGCCACCCCAGGAAGACCCAGGCATGGCCACTGCTTCCACTGTTCACTTTCCTGGGTGCATGCAGCCTTTCTGTTCATTGCTTGAAATAGGGCATTACTATATAGTCTGGGCTGGCCTAGAACTTACAATCCTCTTGTCTTTGCCTTCCAAGTTGTTTGGAGCACAGGTATGAAGCACCTTGCCCAGTTTCATGCAGTACTTTTTTTTTCCTTTTCCTCAGCAAGATAAAATTTACTTATGTGTAGAAGGGCATGCCATCTGCAAGCGAGGACTCATGCAGTCATTTTTCACAAAGTAGACATAATGCCATCACCATTACCTCTATCCTGAAAGTACTAAGGATGTGTCAAACTTATTTGTGCTTTGTGAAGTGGTTCTGCATACTTTAAATGTGTGTTACGGAAATGAGATACCTCTGTACTGAAGAAATAAGAAGCTTTCGTAAGACAAAGACTTAACTCAATGCTGAGTTGCCTGAGTACAATGGTTCTCTATTAGTCCTGGGCGAACACCAGCATCCTGAGAACTTGGCCTAGGTAACCTCTGGAGCCTTGTCCCAGTTCCAACTACCAGACACTTGGAGTGGGGCCTGGCTGCTCTGTAACTAGGGTGTGCATGGCACTGTCTGGACACTGTCTTGAGGGAAAACGATGGCTGTTGTCTGTGGGTGGATAGAAAGGCTTGCTCAGAGTGCCCCCTGCTGGCGGGGAGGCATCCTGGCTTCACAGCACTACCATCAGCAAGTGAGGGTGGGGGTGGCATGGAGTCACCTGCTGCCTAATTCTCTCAGACTTCTTAACACTCCTGGGAAGGGGGCAGAACTTGCTGAGCTCAGCCCATCACACCCAGGTCAGGTTCTGTCCTCTTCCCATTCCTTACCAAACCTTTCTGTATCATTTTGTTATGTGCATCATAGGGTATCTCTTCTCCTCTCCCTCTTCCCTCCCTTTCTTCCCTCTCTCATCCTCCTTCCCTCTGGCTGTTGGCTATGGGTTCTTGGAGGTTGGGAACATCTGGGTTGTGAGAGAACACTGCGGCCTGGTGCCATGCCCTTCTGCCCCCTCCAGCACATATCCTCCATGAACACCCTCTCAGGAGGGAAGGCAGGTGTCTGTGGGTACGCTAGAAAGTGTGGTCCCCCTCCAACCCTCATGTGTCCTGGCAGGAGGCCAGCACCCTCCTCGCTTTGTTCTAGGCACTTAGTGGCTTCTACAGGAGAGGCCACCAACCTAAGTGCCAGCAATCTCTAGGGGTGAAAACTCCAATTAGAACATGAAAGTGACATCACAGTGCTTTGCCGCATTTACTGACCTGGGGGCACCCCAGAAGAGATGGTGGACGATGTGGTCAGGCCGGCCCCTGCGGCTGTCATGGCAGCCACATCAATGGTGTAAGTAGTGAGGGATGACAGCCCTTTGATCTTGTACTCATGGGTTGTGCTGTTGAGGGTGTGTGTGAGCCGAGAGTCATTCTTCCCATACACTTCCCAGGAAATCTGATAGCCTGAAAGACAGAGTGGAGTCAAGACCTCCTCCAGGCCCAGGGCATAGGGCCCAGGGTGGTCCACCCTTCCATCATTTCAGCATTCCATCATTTGCAGAGGTCAGCCCTGCAGAATGGAGCCTGAGTGCCCACAGAAACCTCAACATTGCTTTTTTGTTTTTGTACCAGTCCTTTAATTTCCCTTAAGGCACTGTCCCTTAATTTCTTCATTAAAGGCTAGTGCTCTACCACTTGAGTCATAGCCCATTTCCAGGTGTTGGTAGTTAATTGGAGGTCAGAGTCTCATGGACTTTCATGCTTTGAACTGCAATCCTCAGATCTCAGCCTCCTGAGTAGCAGAATTACAGGAGCCACAGGCACCCTGCCCACATCGCCTGTATACCCTGGTGACCTGCCTTGAACCCACAGAGACATGGCTGCTATTTTGGTGACCTCAGAGGCTGCTGCACTGAGTGATGAACAAGACTGCCAGCCCGTTGTGCTCTGTTTGGTTTTTTTCTTGTCAAATTAAGTTGCATTCCACCAGCATTTCCATTTTTATAAGCGGCTATTTTCATTACCCAGGTCCCTGAATCCAGTGGCTTGCTCTGGGGTTGCAACTAATTTGTTGCAACTAAAAGTAGAAACAGGTTCACTTTTTCCTTTATGAGATGATTGACAAGCTACTTTTCCAGTTTGCAAAGTGCTTTGCCTGGAAAACTTTATTTTTACCTGAGTGCATGAGTTTTGCTTCTAGCTCTGCCCTCCCCCCCTTGCCCCCTCTTGGAATATCCTGTTTTCTTGCAAAATTTAATTTCTCCCAATTCTCTCCTCAGTCCAACGGGGGGGGGCTGGAGAGGGGGAGGCTCGTGATCACAATTTATTCAGCCTTAGATTCCACTGTGATTTGAGGCTTAGAGGAAAAAAAAAGATCCAACTGGTGCCTGAATTAACCCCCTTGGAGAAGAGTTTATGTGATTAGACAAAGCTTAAAGTGTCTTTTAAAGAGAGAGATAGTGATGGAAGGAGCCCTTAGGTCCACAGGCGGAGGAAAACTGCTGAAACACTTGCTCACCCCTCTTTTCAGTCAATAAACTCGGGGCTACTGAGCAGCAGGACACATCTTTGCTGCTTTCTCATTCTGATGAAAGTAATAAATAAAGTTGGAAAGCTATACTTGCAGGTGAACAGGAATTTGGAGGCAAGCACCCTGAGACTTTTAATACTGTAGAAAAAAATATGAATGTCAGAACTGTTCCCTCTCTGTCCATGGCTGTCACAGCTGCAGAGGTGCAGGAGGACCAGGAGGGAAGAAAGCCTCTGAGACCACCTGGTCACAGGGCTTCAGGCCACCAGGGCCCCTGGAAATCCAAGGCAGGCACAGTCAGGTGGGGGCCGCTCTGCTAGGGTCTTTGTCTCAGTGATATGGACCCTTCCCTTCCCTGCATAGGCTCCCTGCTGTCTCTCCAGCCTTGGGCCCTGGTCCCTGTTTCCTCCCCAAGGATCTGCCACACATCACTGTCCTGCAACCCTCATGCTGTACCCTGGCCATCCCCTCTTCCTCTTCCTTGGACCCTCCTTCCTCTTCTACCTAGTCTTTCTGCATGGATGGGAGGGAACTATGACCATGACGCTACCCAGCAGCTCTCTCCTGCCAGCTAACTTGAAATAATGGCACAATAATAAAACAATAATGGCACAATAATAAACCAACATCTTTCAGGGCAGTGGAATGTATAGCTCAGCCCAAGGAGTATTTGTGACATAGCTGGGAGTGTTCTAGGTACCTTGCATGGACAGGTCAGCAATCTGTACAACTGTATTCCTTTGACATTGGGATGTGGTTCTTTAGAACTTTCCAGAACTAAACAGGCCACTCCAGAACTCAGGCTCCTTCTCAATGCGAGGAAGTCCTCCTTCTAGGGGCCTTCTTTGTGACCTTCCTGGTAGGTCTGTAATCACCTCACCTTGGTGAGCTCGGGGTGGGTACGGGGGGGACTGTGTTTAATGTCACCACTTTACCTGCCAGGGCATTTATTTGTTTAGAGGCTGTTGTTCATGAATATGTACTAAACACAGCCTCTTATTATGTCAGCCCAGAGCCCTCACACAGCCAATCTTGGTGGGGTCTTCACTGTTGGCAGGCATTAGAATCCAAGTTGGTACTCATATGGCATGCCCGAGTTGTTTACAAATCCCAGCACAAAGCAAATGGACAACTACATAGGATGAGGTGCTCTGGAGGCCGCAAGACCACTGTGTGCAGAGACGGCATGTGGGCCCACCTCTGCTGAGAGGGTGGCCTCTGATGCTCAAGAGTGTGCAGATGGGCAGAGTGGCAGGCACGCGGTGTGGGAGAAGGCCTTCTCATGACTCACAGTGCTAGGGATGTGTATGAGGGTCCCTAGCAGCTCAGCGTGGCACTGTTTTCTCCAGATTCTAGTGTGTGAGAGGAGAGGAGTCGGGAGGAGAGGCCGCCCTGAGCCTCCAGCCTGCAGTCCTACCTGCTCAGAACGGCTGCCTAACGGAGACTAACGACCAAGGGAGCTTCAGGAATAATTTTCTGTTGATCTGAAGTAAATTCTCTACAAGGGAGCAGTGCATCCAATCACAAGCTGTCCGTCCACATCCTGCCCCTCATAAATCAGAGTTTACCCAGGGAGAGTGCAGGAGGCTGGAATTTACAAGATAGCACAATGGGCAATTTATTCTGGTGGGGACCAGGTTGCTTCTGCTCCAAGCTCCCTAATTTGTTCCCACCCCAAATTAAACCAGGCCTGGGGTGTGGGCACTCCCTGTGGGCCTGGTATGAAGCATCCTTTCCAACATGGCTCCCTGAGCACTAGGCACCAGTGGGCCGGGCTCTCAGCTGCCTGCAGCAGTGCGTGGTAAATGGTGGAGCCATCCAGCATCATTGCCTGGGCTGAGGCCAGGTAGTGGCAAGCACAGCTTTCTTTGCTGAGCTGGGTAAGACACATCAGCAAGTTGGGTGCTGTGGCTCAGAAAGTAATTCAGAAGGCTGAGAACTGAAGAGCCGAGTTCAAAGCCAGCCAAGAGAAGACAAATAGGAGAGACTCATCTCCAATGAACCAGCAAAAAGCTGGAAGTGGAGGTGTGACTCAAGTGGTAGAGCACCAGCCTTGAGTGGAAAAAGCTAGGGGCGAGTATGAGGCCCTAAGTTCAAGTACCAGTACTGGCACCGAAGAGTAACAGAAGACCTACTTCAGACAGAGTGGCCTTCCACGGGAGTGGCAGCATCTTCCATGGGAGAGTCATGTGTTTGGGGTGCCACAGTCAGGCAGAGCCTCCAGAGTGGGGGTGCAGTACTGAGTACTGGCTCATGAGGAGATGCGTGGGTGATATCTGGCTTACAGCAGAGGTATCTAATCCCCCTCTCTAGGCCCTTCTCTGCAGAGCTTCTGGGGGACATGTGCCGTGGACTCTGGGATACAGGTGTGTTTTCTAGTATGGACAGGAGTGGAAGGAAGTACAGGCCAGACCCCCACCGCCTGGGGACAAACAATGTGCCCTGGAGAAGAAGGGCTCTGACCAGGCCTTGGCTGCTGGCCAGTGGCAGCATAGTCATCTCTAGTCCAGGCCAGCAGAATCTAACTCAGCAGAGCCGCGGCTCCGAAAGGTCAAGTCTCACAATAAATAATAGATGGCTGCTTGTAACTATAGGTGTTTGTTTAAATAAAATACGAAAATGAGTTCATTAGGCCCCATTAGCTGGCGGGAACAGATGATCATAAATTGGAAGTATTGGCACCACATTCTAGCAGTGCAATGCTGGTTCACCTTGGCTGACATGCCGGTAATTTCTCCTCAAGCTTTAAAACAAGGATTGCGTGTAGGTGCTCAGAAGGGGTGGGGCAGTTGAGGGGGAGACAGTCTGAGACAGAGGACCACAGCCTTCTGCTCAGGCTGTCTACCAAGGAGTCTAAGTTAGGGTTCTAGAACATAGCAGAACATTTTTGAAAAGCCTTCTGGACAGAATTTCCTGCCTCTCTCACTCTGAAATCAATGCTAAGTGTGGCTCTAATTCAGCTCCTGGAATTGGCCCCCAGAGGTCTGAGCTGGGAAGGCTTTCCTTCCCGATGCTCCTGCTGCTACACTGATCCACCCCCTTGCCACTCAGCTCTAGTTGTGTCTGGGTGGCATAAAGCAATGTTAGACTCAACTGGGTCCCTGGGTCCCCACTGTGTCTCTTTCCGCCCCACTTCAGCATAGTCCTTTTATACTAGGCACTGGGGAGCCCTTCTTATTTATGACATCTAGTTCTGACAGTGACCATTCCCAGTCCTGAATGGGACACGGTTCCAAGTGGGCATTTCAAAATGTAAGCTTCTTGAAGCAGGGCTCTTTAGGAAGGTTGAAAAGTTAGGGTTAGCCTGGCACCAGTGGCTCATGCCTGTAATCTAGCTACTCAGGAGGCTGAGATCCGGGATCTTGGTTCAAAAGCCAGCCTGGGCAGGAAAGTCTGTGAGACTCTTATCTCCAGTAAACCACCAGAAAACCAGAAGTGGCACTGTGGCTCAAGTGGTAGAGCGCTCGCCTTGAGCTGAAGAGCTGAGGCATAGTGCCCAGACCCAGAGTCCAAACCCCATGACTAGCAAAAAAAAAAAAAAAAGGTAGGGCTAAAGTGGAATGCAAATGTGCACATCTGTAATTGTAGCACTCAAAAGGTAGAGCTAGGAGTACTACAGTTCCTGGGCAAAGAATGAAAGAAACTGTCTCCAAAACAAACTGAAAAGCTAAGTGGAAGTGGCTTACATAGTACTCATAGCAAGTAGGCTATGGTCTGGAGGATTATGGTTCAAAACCAGCAGAAAAGTCTCAAAACAAACAAAAAAACAGGACAGAAGCAACAGCAAAAACCAAGAGTCAGAAGCATGGTTCCAATAACAGGAGGCTGGTGTGCAAACAAAACCACTACCACCACCAACAAAGAACCTAAAAACAAAAGGACTGGGGGACATAGCTCAAGTAGTAAATGGTGAAAGCCATGGTGAAAGGTGGAAGCCAACTTCAAACCCTAGTACTGGTTTGGGAAAAAAAAAAGGAATTAAGCCAGGTGAGGCTGTGCATGCCTGTAATCTTAGCCCTCAGGAGGCTAAGGCAGGAGATCCTTGCCCTTCACTGTGTTATTTTCAAATGGTTCTTGGGTTGTTAGCACATAACCCCGATGGCCATGGGGACTTACTGAGCTGAGCTCAGATAATTCGTTGGCCCAAAGCTTTGCGAAGCCCCCTGAGAACTGTGGCTGGGAGGAGGAGGCTCTTCTGGGTAGTGGGGGAGCACACGAGGGAGCATGAAGTCACAGTACATGCCCATAAGTCCTAGGGCTGTGGGCGCCACCTGCAGGCTGACCCGGGAAGGCTCGTGATGAGAAGGAGAATGCCCAGCTCTGAGGCTGAGGCTCCCATGGGGAAGATGGCCCATTCCCCTAAGTGAATCTGTGCTGGAGACACACAGCAGGAAGATACTTCAGCCATTTCCCACACAGGGCTGGGGCACTGGTCACATCAGCAGTGTGAGTGAGGCGGCAGATACCCCTTTGTGTTGGGGTGCCCTTACGGGGATTCTCTTTCTCTGAAGGAGGGGAGGGTTCACCTGTGATGATGCCATTTCTCTCCAGGGGCTCCTGCCAGCTGACCTTGAGAGAGGTGTCCAGAATCTCTGTGAAGCTCAGATGTCCCACGGCTCCAGGTTCTACCAATTAAAAAAAGGACAGCTGTTAATCCAAGAGCCTGAATCTCTTTGATCAGTTCTATCTAGGAAAGGAAGTGGTGAGCCAGGTCTGGCAGAAAAGCTGTAGGAAACATCTGGAAGGAGATAGGAGGAACAAGGGACCTTAGAAATCTTAGCAATCATTCTGTAAATTGTTTTGTCCAGCTTCCTCATGGCCACACAGAGAAGTGAAGTAAGTGGCCACAAGAGATTCAGGCACAATCCGTCCTCTTTCTTCTTTATCCAAATCTAGCAGAACAAACACAGACTGCCCAGATCCTGGAAAGCAATCGTTTGGTGGCATGTCTCTGGCTAGGTGTTTGCAGCTATGGCTCTGGCTTGTGTGGGGTAACTGGGCTGTGGAAGCCAAAACAGAGCAGGCCCATAGCTCTAACTCCACCCCATTCCAGAGGGGCACAGCAAGGCTTTCTGGGCAGGTACAGCAGAGTTGGCTTTGAGCTCTGGCTGGGGAATAACTGTGATATTCTACTAGCCTTAGTGTGCTTATCTGTGAAATGGGGAAAATGAATCTCTGCAAGAATAAAAATGAATGAAAACACGACTGTGTTAACATTCCCTGGCATGGTAAAAATGCTAAGTATTACTACTACTACTGCTGCTGCTGCTGCTGCTGCTGCTACTACTACTACTACTACTACTACTACTACTCTAGAATCTTTTTCTGTTCAAAGCTACCACTTGAGCCATAATTCCATTTCTGGCTTTTTGGTGGTTAACCGGAGACAAGTCTCACAGACTTTCCTGCCCAAGATCCTCAGATCTCAGCCTCCTCAGGAGTTAGGATTACAGGCATGAGCCACCAGCACCAGCTGATGATCGTTCATGACACATAATGATCATTATTATTAATGATCATTAATGATCATTATGTGACATGAACAGCATCCAGTCATTGGATGATATGGCTATGTGTCAGATCAGATTTTTCCTACCTTAGAGACCTGAGAGGCCAAAACAGGAGTTACCAAAGCAAGACAGGCCCCAGTCAGTGGACACACAGTCATAAAGCATGGGCAAGGAGGATGGAGGCATCTCTTGCTTGCTACCATGGACAGCACAACAGAAGTGAGGCACTTGTGGGCTAGACTTCACTTTCCTCCTGTTTAGGAGTCCAGGGTTATTTTTTTCCACCAAATGAAGAATTATAAGAAAGGAAAAGTGAGAGCAGAGGCCAGGTTTATTTGAGAGTAATAGTGAGATGCCACAGAGAAACTGAGGTGAGCCTCTTAGCTACGGGTGGGTTGGTACAAATCCCCAAACAGGACTCCCAGCTGGGGGACTGCCTTAGGCCTTCTGAGGTATTTTCCACTTGCTTCCCAAGCAAGGAGAAGGAGAAGGAGAAAAAGGAGAAACAGGAGGATGAAGAGGAGGAGGAGGAAGAAGAAAACAGATTTCTTTGTGTAAGGGAACAAGAAGAAGGCCTGGAAACTGGTAGCCTGATGTAGGCTTGTGGGGTCCCTCTTTTATTGCTCTTGGGTGAGTCTCAGCTAGTTGGGTCACTGTCCCCTTCACCCCAAGAGGAGGGGCACCTGTCCCCTGCTTTTATGGGAGAAGTTAGTTATCAATGCTTCCTAGTGCCTTAGGGAAGAGGAAGGAATGTTATCTTCAAACCCTGGGATGATCAGGGGGTGTCATCTACTTAGCTGCTCAATCTTTCTTCTTTCCCTCTCCCTCAGCTCCAGAAGTTTCTTACGGAGGAGGAGGGTAGGGGAAGAGGGTGTCAGGAAGTCTGTGATCCAGAGGTGACAGGTGAGGGAGGGAGGGAGGGACATGCCCCAGCTGCTGAGATACCTTCACAGTGGCCACAGCTGTGGGGTCTGAAAGATCAGAAGACAAAGGAAGGGGTGGGGAGGGCCTGGGGAGGCAACACCTCAAGTTCTCTGCTTCCCTGTCTTCCTTTGGAGCCTGCTGCCTTGCTTCTCTGGACCGCCCATGCTGTCCCTAAACCCTTTCAGGAACAACTTCCTAAACAGAGGCCAGGAAGACAGAACTGACAGTTCAAAGGCAGTGTTGGAGCTGAAAGGGAAAAAGAAGCACCCCCCGCCCCCGGAGAGACAGAGCACACATGGGGGAGCACCTGTTTGGGAGCAGCTAGCTGCTAATGAAGGTGCAGAGCCAGGGCTGCCTGTGAGCTGGCTGGGGAAGGCCCCAGCGGTCATCTCTGTGGTGTGGTCAGTGTGCTGCTGACCCTGCAGGGCAGTGAGGTCTCCCAGACTCTTCCAGGTCCCCTTCTGGTCCTTATTGGCCTTATTCGCCCAGCTGGCAGATTTTCAAGTGAATTCTATACCCAGTTCCCAATTCATACTTGGACAAAGCCTTCTAACACAACTTTTGATTTTTTTTAAAAAAAATAAATAAAATGTTAACAGCCTCAGAAAGCACACTCGCTTGGGTGAAGCCTGTGAAAGTCTTTATGGATGAGCTCAAACACTCTGACAAACGCCACTTTTCTCGCGTGGAAGACAGTAAAATAGGCCGCTGTCAGGCCCGTCTCGTCCTCCCCCAACCGTGAGCGCCCAGAAAGACATTCTGACAGGTTTTTGAACTGACTTGTTCTCTTTCGATCGATGGAGTAGCAAAGAAAGCTTTCTGCTGCTTTTATATTCTCCGTGCTTCTGCTTCCTGGACTGCTGCCCACATATGCTGTGTCCTCCAGCTCTGGCAATGGCTAGGCTTCGATTTATAACCTGTTACTGGCCCCTCCCCCACCACGCCTGCATTTCCCCTGGGGCTTTGGGAGAAGAGGCCTTCTGACAGGTTGGGTGAGCTGCAAATTCCACTTTTATGAGTGTTCTGTCCTTCCTTCTAAACAGAATGAACAGGCTGCCTGCCTATGAAAAACACTGTGGTCAGTGAGGAAATTCAACAAAGATAGCATGGCTTCCAGTTTTGTCTGATGGGGCTCACAAAAAATTGGTGACTGAAAAGCAGATGCCACAATAAAATAAACATATTTTTTTAATGAACTCACTGAACATTCATCAAGAGGGAACACATTGGGGGTTGCCAAGCCTCAACAAATTCAAAGGAGCAGAAATCAGACAAGGTGTATTCTTTGATCTTCATGGAATCAGAATGGCAATCAATAGCAGAAAGAATTAAAAAAAAATCTTCACACACAGGGAAATGTGCTGGTGCACTTCTAAGGAATCCACCAATATACACAGAACTGAATGGAAGCAATGGTCCAAAATGTGGAAATCTGTGGTGCAGGCAAGGTAGCAGAGAGAGTGAAATGTGTAGCACCAAATGTGTACATTGGGCATAAGTGCAGGTCTCATACCAATAATCCAAAGGTCTATGTCAAAAAATGAGGAAAACAAGAAAAATAAATCTAAAACATGCAGAGGGAAGCTAATCATAAAATCCAGAAATTGATGACATTGAAAAGGAAACAACAGAGAAATTAAATGTTCTCTGAGGAATACAAAGGTCCAAAAGAAGGAAGACATAGGCCACTAATGTCAAGCATATATCCGAGAATGTCTGTATAGCTTCTGTAGTCATTAAAAACATAATAAGGAGCCAGGTGCTGGTGGCTCATGCCTGTTATCCCAACTATTCAAGAGAGTGAGATCTGAGGATGGAGATTTAAAGCCAGCGTGGGCAGGAAAGTCCGCACTCTTAACTACAATTAACCACCAAAAAGGCTGGAAGTGGAGCTGTGTGTGGTTCAAGTAGTAGAGCACTAGCCTTGAGCAAAAGAGTTCAGAGACAGTGCCCTGGCTCCAAGTTCAAGATCCAGGACTGGCACACATGCACATGTGTACAAACATACACACACACATACAGACAGACGTAATAAGGGATTTTTAGGAACAAATTTACAGTCCTAAATCAAAACTCTTACAGGAACACTTCCTTGTAAACCACACACTATTAACATTCAATCAAGATAAAACAATCTTAATAATCCTATAAGTACTAAAGACATTATACTTACAAATAAACACCTCCCAAAAGAAATCTCTAGGTTCAGGGAGTTTCACTGGAAAATTCTACCAAACATTAAAATGAGAAAATGACACCATTTCTCCTTGAAAAAAGAGGAGGAGAAAATGCTTCCAAACGTATCTTACCACGTGAGTATTGCCTCAGTAAACCAAAGACACCACCGAAAAAGAAAAACAGAGATGAATCTCTCCCATGAATGTAGATCTAAAAATTCACCATAAAATACCAGCTAAGTGAATCCAACAGCATATAAAAAGAATTATACACTGTGACCAAGTGGGATTTATTCCAAGTACACAAAGCTGGTTCAACATTTCAAAATCAATCAATGTAATCCAACATATCAACAAGGTAAGAAGGAAAACCTACATGGCCACATCAACCGAGACAGTAAGTAAAAGCACGTTAAAAAACAAGTCCAACATCTATTCTCAACCAGTTCTCACAGAGAGAACAGACTGGAGGGAGACCTAAGGTAGGTGAAGAACATCTCCATAAACCATCCCACCTCAGGGCAAAGAAACTGAGGAGACTGAAGAAACAGGCAAGAATGGAGACTCTGCCCACGCCAATACTATAGTGGAAACTTAGACACTATAGATGAAGGAAGGGAGGAAACAGAGGCAGGACTTCCAGATTGTAAGACAGGGAGGATGGTAAGGTAAGGGTGCAGAAGAGGAGCTCCGAGGATCTCTTGGACATGTTGTGGTGACAGAAATGTACACATGCAACAAAGGATAGAGCCAAATTCGCAGGCATGCATAGATGAGAACAAAAGGAAGCAGTCGGGTGTGATGCTATGTCACAGTTTTGCAAGCGCTTCCCTTGGGAGAAATGGGCAAAGTGTATATGTTCACACTAGTGTTGATTCCTACAACTGCCTAGGAATCTATAACTATTCAGTTAAAATCTTCTGGTGGTCCTCCATGTGGCAGTATATGCCTGTAACCCCAGCATTCACAAGGCTGAGGAAGCCTAGGCTACATAGCGAGTTCTAGACCAGCTACCCCAACATAAGCACATTAACCAACCGAGCAACCAACCAACCAACCAATCAACAAAGCAAAATGCTCAGCTAAACACAAGTCAGATTGAGTTGAGGCACAGAGGAATCAGGCTGGAACAGGGGTGGGACTGGAGAAAGTGAGGCAGCTTGTCCTGGGTGGCCTGACCTCTGCAATGCCTTCTGCCTTCATCTAAGATCTGGAAGTCCGCACAGATGAGCACAGGTGGCTGAGCAAGCACTGCAGCCACCACACAGTGACCAGGGAAGCCCTGTGTGCCTTCACGCACCCAAACTACAACGCCTCTTATAAAGGGAGTACACGCTCATGGTACAAGTTAGACTACTGAGAAAGATTAAACATGCTTTTTAAAAGGCCCCACAGTCATACTAAATAGTAATTCTCAAAACCACATACAATATTAAAAAAATTGTACTGGGGTTTTGAACTTAGGGCTTTGTGCTTATTAATCAAGTGCTCTACCACTTGAGCCATGCTCCAGGACCTTTTTGCTTTTATTTTTCAGATGGGTCTTGAGCTTTTGTCCAGATCAGCTTTGGGCTCCACCTGGATTACAGATGCGTACCATCATGCTCACTGTGTTCCCACCACATTTCCGGTGGGGGTGGGGGAGTGGGAGGGACCTGGCTGGTCTCAAATTGTGAAATCCCAGCTTGGCTCCCCAAATAGCTTGGATTACAGGTGTGAGTCACTACAGCCATCCCAAATACAAATATATTTGGATAAAATTTGGATCTTAGATAGCTTTGAAGACTTTTTCCCCCCACCACATTGAAGCCATTTTCCCTCAAAAAAAATTTTTTTTTTGTTGGTCATGGGGCTTGAACTCTGGGCCTGGGCACTGTCTCTCAGCTCTTCAGCTCAAGGCAAGCACTCTACCAATCTAGCCACAGTGCCATGTTCGGTTTTCTGGTGGTTTATTGGAGATAAGAGTCTCACAGACTTTCCTGCCCAGGCTGGCTTTGAACTGAGATCTTCAGATCTCAGTCTCCTGAGTAGCTAGGATTACAGGTGTGAGCCACTGGTGCCCGGCTTCCCTCAAATTTTTGTTTTGTTTTGTTTTTTTTTTTTTGATTGGTTGTGAACTCTGGGCCTGGGCGCTGTTCCTGTGCTCTTCAGCTCAAGGCGAGCACTCTATCGCTTGAGCCACAGTGCCACTTCCGGTTTTCTAGTGGTTTATTGGAGATAAGAGTCTCACAGACTTTCCTGCCTGGGCTGGCTTTGAACTGTGATCCTCAGATCTCAGCCTCCTGAATAGCTAGGATTATAGGCACGAGCCACCAGCGCCCGGCCTCCCTCAACATTTTTTTTTTTTTTTTTTGGGTCCGGTCGTGGGGCCTGAACTCTGGGCCTGGGCACTGCCCCTCAGCTCTTCAGCTCAAGGCTAGCACTCTACCACTTGAGTCACAGCGCCACTTCCGGCTTTTTTCTTTTTCTTTTTTTTATTTGTGAACATACTGTACAGAGGGGTTACAATTACATGGGCAGGATAATGCATACATTTCTTACCAAGCATTGCAGCCTCCTCCTTTGTTTACCCTTCACATCCCTTCCCAGCCTCCCCCCTCCCCCCCAATCCCAATCCTTCTCCTTCCCCCCCTTCCTCTCCCCTCCCCCCAGCACCGACATTGTAAAGCTCGTTTTGGACATGACAATTTGTACTTCTCATTGTTGCAACAGGTCCGCCTGTATCTTTAAACAACTGGTTTTTCCCCATCTCCTCCTCAAGTTCCCTCAAATTTTTGATATTCAAAAAAGCTTTAAAAATAAGTGCAAAACATTTATCACATTGCCATTCTGTAATTTTTTTTGTACTCTCCCCATTTGGGACATATGAATGCTTTCCCCTTTTGATGACATTTCAGGTAATTGTAATGCACTTCCTTGAGTGTATGGGCGATGCTTTTTCTCAGAATAACCATGTCTCTGTCACATCAGTTGGGCTGAGAGCAGAACAGATGCTGGTGTGAATCAACTTCAAGGGCAGAAGGCAGAGTCAAAGTCAGGGGGCTGGGAAGAACCAGGGTGCAAGTGCAGTGCTGCTGGGTAGGACAGAAGACAAGTGGGCCAAGAGGCAGCAACGGAGATGAGGGGGTCAGAAGTCAAAATCTGGGTGGCCAATGAGCTCAGCAAGACCAAAGGAGTGGCCACAGGGAAGGACTAGCCCTCCTTCCCTGTCTCCAGAGTGCCCCCATCATGTCAAGGTGCCTTCCTTCCACATTCCATGGGCCTCCTTCCAGCGAGTACTGCCAATGCTATTCAGAGCCTGCAGATTGCGAGCACTCTGAGACACAGGGCTTCCTATGCCAGCTTTGCCCTGCCTGGTGTGGAAAGGCCTCAGGGTGAGATTCACATAGAGAGATACTCACTGTCTTCATGGGTCCACACCAGTTGGGGTGTGCTTGGTGGCCCATCTCCAGGGGTGGTGAAACACAGGACGGACGTGAAGTAGGCCGTGAACTTCTTCAAGTTCGTAATATGCCCATGGTGGATGCCATGGAAGTCCGGCGCGATGGTGACCATGGTGACGGCCTCGGGGACATCTACTGGCCAGGCTAGAAGCTAGGACGGAATTGGGTGGGGGAAGGGAGGAGAGACATCTTTTAAAATCACATTTCTCCACTCTAGTACGTATTGGAATTTGATTTTTGCTGCTAGTGTAACATCTTTAAAGAAAATACAGTCATAATTAAAAAGTTCATAAGGGCTGGGAAGGTGGCTCAGTGGTAGAGCACTTGCCTTGCATGTTCAAGGCCCTGGGTTCGATTCCTCAGTACCACATAAGCAAAAAGAAAAAAGCCGGAAGTGGTGCTCAAGTGGTAGAGCGCTAGCCTTGAGCTGAAGAGCTGAGGGACAGTGCCCAGGCCCAGAGTTCAGGCCCCACGACTGGACCCCCCCCCCAAAAAAAATTCATAAATCCAACATCTTTGAATCTTACTTCAAAAAGGTCGAGTTTAAAAGATATCTTGGAGATTCATATACACCTATGTTTTTATATACATTTATCTAAATAAAATAGCTACTTTAAGCACACACGGGAATGATGCTTACTCTCTTAAACTTTGGATGGCATAAAACTTTGTAGATTTTTTTTAAAGATGTTAACAGTTCATGTATTATTTTTAACTGTGAGACAACAAAGATGATATCATCTCCTTATCTGACTAAATCAGTATCAGGACAGGAATACAAATATGACATCTACTCTGACTCAAAAAAAGCTCTAGTAACAATCAGTTCCACCACTTATCATTTATACCAGCCTAGTTTCCTGAAAAGGATTTTTAGGAGATCGTCAGCAATTTCAAAGAAAGAAAGCACATATACCCATTCCAGGAAAAGTCGCTTTCATGAGCTGGCAATATTATGTACATGAGAGTTCTAATTCTGTGGACACCCTACATCTCTAAGACTAATTAGCCAGCAGACTGGGAGATACACAGCACATCCATGCTGATCAGAGTGACAACTGAGCCATCAAATAAATGCGGTGGTCTCACTAATCAGCCCTGGCAGGAGACTCGAGGGGGCGGGACATCTGGTTTGATCAGTATGCTTTTTTTCCTTCAAAAAAAGCTTCTGAATTTAGATACCTCCAAGTGGGGGGTGGGGGTGAGGAGGAAAGAGCCGTATTTCTGTGAAAGGCTATCTTTAAAGCTCAAATGATGCAAGGATTTGAGGGCCCTATTTGTGAAGGCTTCCTCGAGTTGTCTGTTATGAGATTGGTGAGCATGTCTTGTGCATTGATGGCAGAGACTCCCAACTCTGACCTGAAGTTGATTTAAAAAAAAGAGAAATCATATTTTGGAATTTATAAGCATGTCCATCTTGCAAGGACTCTGAGTTGGAGCCGGTCCTGGAAATCAGCTTGCTTTGGGAACACCCTTGCCCTCAGTTCTGGGGATTGGGGGGTGCTCTACTCAGGGGTCAGCCTTGTAGGAATAAGTGGGCTGGACATCTGGGGGTTGGGGGTGCTCTACTCAGGGGTCAGCCTTCTAGGAATAAGTAGGCTGGACATCTGCTGGACATCTGCTAGAGTCCCCTGGGGTTTTCAGGCCATGTCTCATGAGAAACTGGTCTTTTGTGTCTGAGCTCTCCTCCTGTTGACTGATCATTTTGAGCTTTTCAACCAAGGACAGGACGATAAACAGTGACCTCACAAGGTCAAGACTGCATTTGGTGCCCTGGCTGCTTGATGGAGGGAGGGGAGGGGAGCGAATGGGAGAGGAGGCGGGGGGGGGTGGCCACATGGCATACTCAGTACAGCCCACAAGAGCCACCCTGGAGCTCCAGCCCCAGCCCAGGTACCTTGTATCCTTGGTTGATGCCGTTGATGAACTGCTGTGGGGGAGGGTTCCACAGGAACTGAACAGTGGTAGAGTTCACAGCTTCAGCCTGCACGTTCTGTGGGGGCGCTGTGGGCACTGTTCCAGGGTGGTCATTGAAGACAGTAAAACAAATGGCAGGAGTCCCAGTGGGGAGGAGAGACGAGAAAGAAACCCTTAGCTGCCACTCACGATTCACAGGCAATTACAGCACCAAAAACGGAAGGGTGATGGATGTTTTGGGAGCTAATAGTGGCATTACAAAGCAAGAGAATTGGGCTATTTCTCATTTTCTGGTGTGAAGAGAGTTAGTTCTTGAATGCAGAGAAGAAAATTGGCCTGGAACCATCTTCTCATCCCAAATGAGGCTATCCCAGAGATCCAAGATGAACAGCAAAAGCAGAATCTTTCTCCAGGTATTTGTTTTTGGTGCCAATCTGGGGCTTGCATGCAGGGCTTAGGTGCTGTTCCTTAGCTTTTTCACTTAAGGCTGAGCTATGGCTCCACTTCTTTTTCTCTCTCTAGTACTTTTCCCAGTTTCCCAGTACTGAGAGTAAGACATGTTCACCTATACTTCCATTATCCAAATCTTCCTCCCCTCTCTTCTTCCTTCCTCCCTTCTCCCTCCCTTCTCTTTTTATTTTTTCCAGTGCTGGGGATAGAATCCAAGCCTTGAACATGCTAGGCAAGCATTTTATATATAAACCAAATAAAACTTCCTTCCTTCATACATAACTAGTGCCCCCAAATTGCTTTTGCTGTTGGGCACTGACTCCTTACTTGAGCCCACAAATTAACTCTGTGTGTGTGTGTGTGTGTGTGTGTGTGTGTGTGTGTGCGTGTGTGCTAATGCATGCCAGTGCTGGGCCTTGAACTTAGGACCTGGGCACTGTTCTTTAGCTTTTGTGTTCAAGGCTGGCACTCAAACATTTGAGCCACAGTTCCACTTTTGGCTTTTTGGTGGTTAATTGGAGATAAGAGTTTCACAGACTTTCCATCCCAGGGTGGCTGAGGAGTAAGAATTACAAGCATGAGCCCTTGGTGTCCAGCTAAGAATTAACTAAAATCAGGACAAAAGCTAGGCATTCCAGCTCCATTTTGTATCTATGTCCTCTGCCCTGAGTTACTCTCTTTGGCAGTAACTTTGCAGCCATATTAGAAGCCAGAAAGGTATGGATAGGAGATAGCACCACCTGCTAGGTGTCAGTGAGTAACAAGGTCCCACCTGGCAAATCCTGAGACCATGGACTGTCTGGCCCCTGGTCACTGGAACATGTCTGTGACCAGAATTGTTTACCCATATGTCTTTTTTCTTGCCCCCAGTTCTTTGTCCACTTAAACCTATAGTTCATGTTTGTATCCTGAAAATGGCTGAAGACGTCCAGAGATGCTGTCTTCCCATGGCTGCCATGGAATAAATACATCTCCTTTCTCTGCCCTTTACAGTGTCTCTTTATTTGGTGTTTAGGGGTGAGTATCCAGACCTGATGAGGAACTTATGGAAGTTGAGCCTGGAAGTCTAAAACTCTGCACACACACACACACACACACACATACACACATATACTTGTTTATTTGGAAACTCAGTTTCTCTTTGTTCAAAAGATACAATGATTCTGGGCGTTCTCAGTATTTCTTTCTTTCACTGAATGCTGCAGAATCCAGTGGGACACTTACTCTCAAGAGAGAATTGTTCTAGGGGATCTGTTCCTGGCTCCTAGGGGAGACGCCCCTGGCAGGGGTGGGAGGTGGTGAGCAGGGCTAGATGGGGTGTGGGAAAGAAGGGCACTGGGTGGGTCTCCTTGGGGATGGACAAACATGCCAACCCAGGGGCTGGTCCATGTATATTTTAAACAATGGAAAAACTGGAAAATTTCTGGAAAAGGTAGTGGTGTCCCAGGTTAGCCTTTTAAGAACAACCCAAGAGGACTGTAAAGAGGGGCTAGCCATTTAGTTAGGCCATTAGCCTTTGTAGGATTGTTTTGGTTCTTCGCGGGCTTATTTCTAATGGTGAGACACAAAGCCCAAAGGAGACAGACTATGGCTTCAGGTAGAGAACGACAGACAAGGTTCTCCTGCCAGGTCACACAGGGGAGTAGACCATGGTCCTGTGTGAAACCGCTGTACTTCCCATGGCTCGCTTCCTCTGGCCTCAATACATCAAGCAGAGATGGAACAATGCAGGAATCATGATGCGCCTCCCATCTACTCTTTTAACACCCCCCTTCCTTCCAAGCTGCTGTTGACCATGGCCCTGTCCTCCCCCAGGTCTTCCCAAGTTATCAGGAACACTGTCTAACCTCCCTTTGCGGGTTAACAATGGCCACAGGGGAGACTTGTACCTAGGATGTAGAAAGGGGAGGAGAAGAGAGAAAAGGGGAAGGAGAGGGCGAGAATGGCCAGCAAGCATCTAGGTGAGGAAAGCACAACTCACAAGCTCAATGACCACTCAAGGCTGAGTGTGGGCCAGTGGCAGCAGAGAGATTCTGGGTGCTGTAGACACAAAGAAAGGAGACTGTGCGAACAGAGGATGCAGAGTATTTTGCTAGAGAATCTCACCAAGCATTTGCAGAAAATTAAACACATGCTCTGTCATCACCCTGAAACCCAAGTCAGGAAAAAAAAAAGAATCTTATCAAAAGGAAAAGAAACATTCAGCCCACTCTTCCTCATGAATACAAGTTCCAAACACACACAACAAAATAATTAGGAAATCAGAGTCAGCAGTATGTAAAAATCATTATTCGGATCAAGCAGGTCTTATCTTACGAATGCAAGGCTGGTCCAATATTTGAATATCAATCATGTAAAGCACTGTATCAACACAATAAAGAAAAAATGAACTCAATTATCTGATAGGTTCTGAAAAAGGGATTTCATAAATTTAAAAATGCAATCATAATTAAAAAAAATCAAAAAGTAGGAATTTAAAGAACTTCACAAGATGAGGGATGTGGCTCAAGTGGTAGAGTGCTTGCCTAGTACGTACAAAGCCCTGAGTACTGCCTCTCTGAATATAATGGTGGTAATAATGAACAATAAGAAATGAAATAAAACAACTTCATAAACTTGATAAAAGGCATCTATAAGGTATTTATGAATGATACTTCATTCAAGGGGATGGGCTGAATACTGTCCCTGACATCAGGGACAAGACACAGGCATCGTTCTCACCATTCCTATTCTGGAAGCCTGAACCAAAGAAAAAGAAAAAGCAAACAGATTGAAAACTGAAGGGAGTGTGGGGGCGGGGTTTGCTCCCAATTTACAGACAATATGATTGGTTTCTAGCACTCAATGTCCCAGAACAAAGAGAAGTTTAGTAAGATCACTGGATAGAAGATCAAAACACAAAAATCAATTATATGCCCCAACACAGGCAATAAGCAATTGGAAATTGACATTTAAAAATCAGTACCAGTTAAAGGAGCAATAAAAACATGAAATAAATATAAAACTTAACAATGCGCAAGATCTATATTCTGAAAAACTACAGAACACTAAAGAAAGAAATCAAAGTCCTAATTAAGTGATAAGTTGCAGTGGATTAGCGGGGTTTTAAGAGAATGCAGTAGACAGACTTAACCTGTATGGTAGATGCAATCCAATCAGAATCGCAGTTAGATATGAATACTGTACACATTGAAATGGTGATTAAAATTGTATTAAAAAACAAAGTAACTAGAATAGCCAACATAGCTTTGAAAAAGAGAAAGGATAAACTTTACTATACAATTTAAAGACTACAAATATATAGTCACTAAAACAGTGCAGCTGGAAAACAGATACATTGATCACTGACATAGACGAAGGAAATCACTCACATGTCTCTCTGCTGGTTTTCAATAAAAGCAGAAAGACAGCAGCTCTTTCAACTAACCATGCTGGAAAAATTGGATACCCATACACAAAGTAATAAAGAGAATCCAGATAGGTACCTCATGCCACACGTGAAAACTTACACTGGAGCAGAGGCTTCAAATGCAAACCTACAACCATAAAACCACATGCTGACCCCAGGATTCTCTGCCCCACCACAGCCCAGAACAACAAAGCCAGGGGCGGAAACTTCTCAAACCATAAACCCAAAGAACCCCTTTCTGCCTTTAATTTGGGTTTTCCTCAGGAATCTTGTTACAGTGATGAAAAGCTGACTGACAAAGAGCCACATTCTCTGGGACTGAGGAATTTGTCACCTTCTTTGTGACTTCACACCAGAATGATTTCACCAGATCCTAACCCTTTTACTGAAATCGTGTTGAATAGTCTAAAATAAGATACAGAACATATGCTCTAATACATATACATATAGATCTAGATAGTAATTTTCTAAAGTTTCAAGAGGCCATCTGTGGCTTTGCTTTGCTTTGCTGTGAGGCAGCAGTCATTTTCGGAGATATGCTCTGCCTGGCTGTGGCCTTCATTCTGTCATTTGCATGGCTGCAGAGAACCAAACCCTCCAAAATGCCTTCCCCTGACTGGCCCCAAGGGGAGATGGGGCCACTTCCCCCTACCCTTCTTACTGCTAGATGATACAAAATCTCCAGCCATAGAACTGTCCCATCCTCGGCCCACTCCAGACAAAAAGTCTCAGGTCTACAGCCTCTAGTTCCTTTCTCTTCCCACCCTGGATACCCTTGAAAACACTAGCCATTCTTCTCAGCCTTCTGGTGTTCCCAGATCCTTGGCTTCTCTTGTATCCTAATTACTGTCATCAGGAATGACACAGAAATTTGTGGACAATGGAAATGAAAATTCCCTCAAGCGAGAAAAAGAGTTACAGCCAGTAAATCCTTTCTGACAAGGCTTCAAATGAAAGAGTGGACATGGCAGGAGAGGTCTTCATTACTGAGGCTCCTAGCCCAGCCCCTCCTGGAGAGAAGATGGCCTTGCCCAGAGCTGGGATTCCTCCCGGGAGGAGCCAGGGCCCCCCTGAGCCTCTACACTGCAGAGCTGGCTCTAGCATGGCCTGGATGGAAGCTGCAGAATAAGACCGCAAGGGACTTTTCCCCCCAGATAATTAGCATTGAAAGTTTGCTCTTGCCAAGCCCCTAGGGGCAGGCCTTGAAGCAGCCAGGCAAAGTGACAGGAGTTATGTT